GTTCAGTAACTTACAGACGTCAAGTTCACCATGAATACACTAATTTCTGAACCCTTTAATGCAGACAGTTTTTTCCTGGTTACTGTCGTGCTCCACCCGTTGCAATTCTTGAAGTCTTTATCCTCACTGAAAATATTGAATAATTTCGTTGTCTTCCGTTTCTTCCTATTCAATTCAAATATATTGTAACCTCTGCTTCCGACAAGGTCTCTTATGAACTGAGCCTGCATTTCCCATGCTGTTCTCTTTGTTCTTGAAACGCCATGTACAATAGCTGGTGGCTTTGTCCCATTTAACATCTCATATATCACTTCCTCGGAAACCTCAACATAAGAGAAGGTACATACCATAAACCTTCCATATTCCAAATGAGACAGATCAAATATAAAGAAACATACCTGAAACGCTGCTTGTAGAACTTTCTTATCAAAGCCAAGAACCAAATCTCGAATGCTAGAATAAGCTTCAGTTGTTTGTCCCTACATAAATTTAACCATCATGAGCACATTCATAAGCATGGTAATTATCTCTTTAGCGAGAAAAGGAATGCATTAATCAAATGCGAAAATTAGGTTCATACGCGAAAATCATCAGCTGAATCCACAAAAATGGCTTGAATCCGTAGTTTGGAGCGTTCAGTTTCCAAGCTGCTTTGGAGGAAGAAAACAGTTCCGGGGTGCAATCTGTAGATATCTCCAGGCCTTAAATCTGCGTGCTTAAGTTCATCTTCGTCCGTCCAGCTCAAATTCCCACTCCCTAATACCAAATAGTGGGACCAAAACCGGTTAGTTCCAGACAACATTAATCTAAAAGCTTAAAAGAAGAAGTTCAATTCTGTACACAATTTTCATAAATAGTTAACAGTACCTGTGTGGACATAGAAAACCATATCTGCATGCAAAAGTACAGGAAGTAACAGAGAATTTGGTTCCAGTGTAATGAACTGAAGACGATAGGGCCTACTGGGAATCCAAACGGATGAAATCTCTCCATCTTCAGTGGAAACAATGGATTTTCTTTGTTCCTTTTTCACCAAATGGGGGCCTGAAACCCAATCATTCTTTTCCTCTAAATCTGCTCCAAGCGCATTAACAGAAACTGCTATGAAAATGAAGAGCAGAGAAAAAAGAAACGAAAACAGAAAAGTGCTTTTCTCAGCCATGGCTAAATATTTTCACACCGTGAAATTACTTTGTATTGGGGTTTGGGTTTTAGTTTATAATGAGAAAGGGTTGAAGAGTGAGCGAGATGCGTGGCATTTGCATGGACACGTGCAAGTTGGAAAGTGAAACGAGGCAATGCAATGAAATGAAAGCTGTTGAGTTATTTTATTTATTTATTTATTTATTTTGGCAGTTTTCTTTGTACTGAATTTTGGTGCTATTTAAAAAAAAAAAAAAAAAAGGGTTGGTCATGAGAATTTTGAGGTCCTAGACGAGAAATTATTATGAAGTCTTGAAGCATAATTTTTTTGCAAGTGTATTAATCTCTTTAGTACCAACCATGATCAATTCAAATCCAATTTATCTATAACTTTTGAAAAATAAAATGAGCAATTTTAAAATAAATCTTATTTTTAACTTTTTTGAAATTTATTTATAAATTTTACAGAAACTTTATAAGCTTAACAAGAAAACTATATATAGTAACTTAAACAAAGGATATAAGTGCATAATTATTTTGGGCATCTTATTTAGTCCCTTTTTGTTGTTTTGTTGTGGCTTTTTTAAGGATTAGGGGAACCAACTCAAAAAAATAAAAGAAATTTTTTGGACTTTTGAGATTTTAAATTTTTTGAGACCCTAGACGATGACATAGGTTGCCTTTGTCGAGGACCGAGCCTGGACATAAGAAAAAGTACATTAGTGAGACAAGAAAACTTGGTTAGAGGAACCGAAGATAGGGCCAACTACGTTAATGAAGATACACTTAATAAAATTTATTTCTACACTTTTACCTTCCTATCCATGTTGTAAATTCTCAAAATGCTTGTGCACCCTCGTGTATGCAGTTGTTCAACTACTTTCTTCTTCTGACTTCTTTTTCCACATCTATCGTATTCGGGAAAGCTTGCTTAGTGGCGGAACATGTAGCAATGCCAGCAGCCTGGTGAGGGCAGGTGTCTTCATTTGAATTTTGGTGCTATTTATGACATTTAGGGTTGGGCCAAGAGAAAGTGCATTAATTGATGATGGGGCCTCTACAAAACATTTGGCCTAATGGGTGTGGGGTGAGTAATGAATGTTTGCACTCCGCTTCTCTAAAATTTCAAGTTCGGACATTTTTTTTTAGACCCAAGCTTAGACCAAAATTAACTTGGTTTATTTTATTTATTATAAATCGAATTATTTTAGATGTTTTCGATAGCTTGATTAATGAACATATTCAAATAACGAAAAAAATTCCGTGTAGTCAACTTCAAATTATTAAAAATAAGATTAATTTTATTGTATATATGGTAAATTTCATCCTTGGATACTAAATTTTTACTTAGATTGTTAAATGAGAAAAAAAAAATATTTAGAACTCACAACTAAATGCTATCTTTAATTGGTCCAACTTGATGTTATTTGTGTTATTTTATGCTTTATATTAGGTGGATTGTTATTATGAGAGATGTCCATGATCCAGTTATTCCAGTTTTTGTAAATGAAGTAACACACTAATTACAAAAAACTATTAAATTTGAATTATGTGTGTTTAACAAACATGTTTGACGTAGTTAGCACAAAAACTAAAACTAAGTCTAATGAGCCTTAATCGATCCAATATGGCATTCCGAGTCTACCTCTCAGTTGAATGATTAAAATCATGCATCAATCTTAGTACTTGATACTCGACTCATATTTTTTACAAACACGATTCTCATACAAAAAATATCAAGATATCCACAAGGTGAAATCAAAGAAGCCTTACATATCATATATGTGCATTTTTTTTCATTCTTGATAACAATTATGGTTATTATTGTTGACCTAAAAAAACGAAATTTATTTTTTTAAAAGCCAACTTTGGAATTTACTGAGTTTCGGCAAGATTTTCTCCTCCTTGAAATTTCTGTTTGAATTTTAATAGGATTTTCCTTCTTTTTGGAGAGTTTGGGGGTTCAATTCTTGTATAAAAAGAAAGAAATGGAGATTCTGTTAAAGCACATGATACCAATCCCACCTAATATCTTGGTTGTAACTGTTAAGGCACAATCATGCTAATATCCTGGCTGTATATGTCAATCCCACATAATGTGTAACCTAATATTCTGGTTGTAATGACTTATTTCTGGGCTATAGTCTTGCCTATAACTCTGTATGTAATGTCCTGTAAAGCTGCTATATATACATAATCAATATACACTGTTTTGCATCTCGCCAAAACAGTTTTCTAAATTTCTTAATCTTTCATGGTATCAGAGCAATAGAACTCATGCTAAATAATCATATTTCCGCTTTATTAACATGGCTGAATCTGGTTCCTCCTCATCCAATTTTCCATTTACCAATCCCGCGCAACTTGTCTCGATCAAACTTGACAAGACAAACTATCTTGCATGGATTTCTCAGTTCAAACCTATCCTGAAGAGTCACAACCTATAGGGTTTTATTTATGGCTCTTCTACTTGTCTTCCTATGTATGTTGATGATGCTGCTAAGAAAAATGGGACAGTAAATCCAGCATACACTATTTGACAGAACCGTGATCAACTTTTACTTAGTTGGATCATCTCCTCTATTTCTCCTTCACTGGTGGCATCTCTTTATGGTTTGGACACATCTTACTTGGCATGGCAGTCTCTTGCGGCTCGCTATGCATCCCAATCCAAATCTTGAGTCTCACATCTGAAGTGTCAATTGCAGAACCTACAACAGGGTTCTATGACTTGTGCTGCCTACCTCTCTGAAGCCAAGTCCCTAGCTGACCAACTCTCTGCTATTGGGAAGCCAGTGGATGATGATGATCTCATCTCATTCATCATGGGTGGTCTTAACTCCAACTACACTCAATTCATTACCTCATACTCCTTTCATACAAGAAATTCTTCTATGTCCTTCTCTGAATTCAAGTCTGAGCTCTTAAATCATGAAATTTTACTTAACCAACATATCCCTGCTAATCCTAGACTAGAAACTTCCACTTTTGCTCTTTATACCAATAAATGACGACATCAACATGTGAGGCACAAGCTGCCATTTTTTGTCTCCCTCAATGTCAAAAATGCTAAGCCACATCATTAGCCTAAACCCTTAGCTTCTTCCATTCCCAAGGCAAGTACTAATTCTTCTTCTCAACCTGGTAGTCGCTCACCATGCCAGATTTGCATGGACACTAACCATCAAGCTCTGGATTGCTTTCGGCGTATGGATTTCTCTTACCAAGGCCATCATCCTCCTACAGATTTGACTGCTATGATTGCTGACATTAATTCTGACTTCCTGAACACTCAATAGCTTATGGATAGTGGAGCTAATGCACATGTAACCAACAATGCTACAAAGCTTGATTCCAAGCATAAGTTTGATGGTAATGAGACTGTTAGTGTAGGTAATGGTGCAGGTATTTCTATTAAACATACTGGTTCTTCCATTGTCCACTCTAATGATAACCAATTCTTGCTTGATAATGTTATTCACTGCCATCAAGCTGCAACTAACTTGCTTTCCATCAACAAATTTTGTGCTGATAATGATGTTACATTTCTTTTCACTAGTGATGCTATTATATTCAGGACAACAAGATAGGCATCACTCTAGTTCAAGGACCAAGTGAAAATGGCCTATATCCCATCCACATGTCTAACTTATCACACAATAAACTCAAAGAATTAACTGCATTTATGGGAATAAAGGCATCTAGCCCTCTTTGGCATCATCGTTTAGGTCATCCATCTGAATCTGTTTTACATCATATTTTATATCATAATAATTTGTCTCTTGATGGTTCTGTGAGAAAGGGCATTGTATGAGAATCTTGCCAACTTGGCAAATCTATACAACACCCATTTCCCTCGTCGCATCGTGAGACATTATTTCCTTTGGAGTTAGTACATTATGATGTTTGGGTGCACCCATTGCTTCAAATAGTGGTTTTAAATTTTATGTAATATTTGTTGATAATTTCAATCATTATAAATGGCTGTATCCAATTGCAAATAAATCTGACGTTTTCAACTCTTTCGTTCAATTTCGCCTGCTTGTGGAAAAGCAATTTTCTCATCCTATTAAACAACTACAGACGAATAATGGTGGTGAGTACATATCTTCTCATTTTGGAAAGTATCTTAATCAAAATGGTATTTTTCATCGGCGTACATGTCCACATACTTCTCAACAAAATGGTATAGCTGAATTAAACACCGTCATATAGTTGACATGGGACTTACTTTACTTGCTCAATCTGGACTTCCTAGAAAATTTTGGGTCGAATCTTTCTTAACTGCCACATATTTAATCAATAGATTGCCTACACCAATTTTAAATAATGACACACCATATTTTAAACTTTATAAAGCAACCCTTGACTACTCTTTCCTCCGCAACTTTGGATGTCGTTGCTACCCATTATTACGTCCTTATGCTAAAAATAAATTGTCTTATCGTAGTGTCCCGTGTATTTTCATTGGTTATTGCTTGAATTAGAAGGGATATAGGTGCCTTGATCCTGTAAGTGAGCATATTTATATCTCTCCTAGTGTTGTGTTCGATGAGAAATTATTTCCAGCTAAGATGGTATCATTGAGTCATCACTTCCCTGCTGATACTGTGGTATTTCATGGTATGTCTTCTCCTCCAATTCAAATTTCTAATCCTTTACTTAATCTTGATTCTTTTAGTTCAGCCGTTTTTTAAATGGATTATTCTTCTACTCCTACAACCAGGCAAAACCATCCACAATTATCCTCCATGTTATCAAGTCCACAATTATCTCCAGTTGATACTATACAAGTTGTTTCTTCTCCATCTTTACAGGCTGTTTCTTCTCCGTCTTCATCTCCTTCAGCTGTACTCCCTTTGGAAACTATCGACCCCCGGCTATTTCCAAATCTAGAATTGTTACTCGTTCTCAAACTGGAAATTCTCGACCTCGTCAATTTCCAGACTAAAAACATTTTATTCATTACGTTATCCTCTTAAAATTTTTTAAATCACAATAGTCCCCATGAACCAAAAAAATTACACAAGCAGTCTCTAAACCTGAATGGCGCATTGCTAGGGAATCTGAATTTAAGGCATTATTGGATAAC